ATTTTATCTGTGTATTATTGGATATTTTTGYTAAGTTGGTGAAGTGCATTTTTTCAGTCTGGAACTGTTACAGTTTATTTAAAATTAAAAACAATTAAAAACAATGAAACTATTTCTATATATWAAAAAAACATAGCTGTGGAAAGTTAACAGTTATCTGATCCAGGGCTTTAGTAGATGTTTTCAAAATGTAATTAACCAGAAAATGTACCTGTATGTGAAAAGGGTTAAAAAAAAGTCATAATTTAAAGAACAACTATATAAACACTCTTTTAATTTGAAATTCAGCTGCGAGCACAATTTTAAAWCTTCCACGCCGACGTCTTTGATTTTGTTCGCAGGTCGTGATTTGTATTTGTGGCAATATAAAGAGAGAGAAAAAAGAGAAAYTATGAATTCAGGCCTTAGTCATGTGTAAAAAGTTGGTGTTGCTTATTAGTTCTTTAGTAAAATATTTCAGTGTAAACATGGAGCTTTGAACAGAAGACCTCTTAACAACTGTGTTCTTTTCACACWYAAATCTCATTTTAAAACCCTGTGCTTGCCTGAAGAGCTCAATTTTCAGATGCATACAGGTAATATCACTGAACAAATCACAACAAAAACACTGAACTGGTTAACTTTTAGAACAGCATGACCACAGAACTGCMGATGTACCCAGCACAATATGGAAAGTTTACATGCTTTTTTTCCCACCAATTTTTTTAAACAAAAAAAAGTAGAAAGTATTGCTTTTTTCTTTTCCTTTRTTTCGTAACCAGCAGATTAGCTGGYTTTATTTTGCTTCTTCACAAAATGATGTGATCATATTTGTCAGCTACACAATGACTTGAGTCTAATATAAACAGGACTTGTTGCCACAAAAGAGCATCTAAGTGCCAGTGCTCTCCATTCTGTGCTTGGCTGCTAGACACCAGACAGTGTGGTGGCCAAGAGCAGCTGATTTATGGGCCAAAGCATCAGGTCAGTTGCATCCTCAAATRGGACCACCACCCATCTATTTACTACTCCCCTCCATCCAGCCATCTGGGCACAGTCCAAACCCCACATCCTTAGAACATGGGGCCTGATGGCTGCTCTTTGGGAAAGCTCTTTGGGAATGAGAACATGTGACAGCCCGTAGGAAAAGCCCTTTCTGTGTGTGTGGCTGGACTGGATAATGGTGGCGACTCATATCATTCTTAAAGGAGCAATATTATGTGTTTCTCAGGCATATATTTAAATACTATACCATAATAAAGTATCTATGTCACCTTTAGCTGTTATTAAAATGCTGTTTTTATGTTTAAATAGAAAATAAACTTATCTTCTCATCACTTCCTCTTCTAAACGCCTTGAAATTGGCCTCTGTCTCTTTAAGAAGCACCTTCCGCTTTTTTTTTTTTTGCGCTATGATGCAGTTTACTCGGCATCTGAAAATACATTTCCTCAAAGRTATTTTKAATCTGAAAAGAGCTTCACTGAGTGAGAAGTAGTGTTAAGAGCAGCAGACAGTTTAAGTTTCACTTTCACTTTGCTCTGTTACTGCCGAGAGCCTGCAGGAGTCATGGGCGGGGTGTATGGAGGTGTGCTCCATGATGAGGAAGTTCAGCTTAACGACAAGTCCCAGGGGCGTTCCTGGTCCCAAAAGGTGTTTCTGGTCCCCACCTGTCGTTTTGCTCCTCAGCATGGCTGCCTAAAAACGCTGCAGGATTTCTCAAACATGCATGAATGAGTCAAAGCAAGGCTTTGGGCATGTTTTTATGAGAGTATAACATAACATGATATGAAACTCAAAAAAGTTGATTTTACATGATATTGCCCCTTTAAAAAGCAAAAATTGCTGGCGTCAATCATGACGAGCTGCATTGCCCTTGCTCAGCAACCGAATCTTTTGCCCAGTGATTTCTGACAGCACAAAGAAACCCACGGTCCTCTCTTTGTTCCACATTTCAAGTGTTCATTTGGTGTCCATATGAGGAGCTGATGTGCATAAAATAGACTCTTATGTTTGGGAGAACATATTTCATAGAAACAGATTCTCAGAATGGTGTTTCAGATGGAAAAATAAATAAATAAAACTCAGCAGAAAATATGACAACAAGTTAGAGCTGCAGCTGAGGAAAGAATCATCACGTCCATCAATAAAACTTCCAAAAAAAAAGGTCCAGAGTTAGAAAAGTTCCTTTTTTTACGGATCACACTGTGGTGGCCCGGCTGTGTTTGAGTGCCAGCGGGGAGTACTCCTTAATGCGAACGCACAGTTTGCCCCTCAGCCAGGGGTTCTGAAGCTCCAGAGGACAGAAGTCGTCTTGAAGCCACTTTTCTCTGTTGTCCACAACCAACACTAGACCAAAGTGCTTCAGCTGTTCAGGGCTATAGTAAACACATTGTTCCTGTTCATTGCTGCCTCCGCTGCTGCCCAGCAGGCGCCGAGAGACAACGTTCATCTCCTGGACTACCAGCTGAACCATCTCCCGCGCTGTTGTGCCTGGAGTTACACAAAGCTGGAAAATTGGAAGAGGTGCAGGTATTTAGCTTAGCTAAACAGAAGAAAAAAAACATGTCATGAGAAAAAGCAAGAACACCCCTCTTTCATTTCCAGGGTTTTATGGATCAGGATGAATAAAAATCTTATCCCAGTTTTAATATTAGTCAAATCTACCCTCAGGTGTGATAATGGACAATGCCATGGTTGGCAGAAGTACAGGAAAGGTGTTTGTGGAGAGGTGATGATTTGCATTTGTTTGCAGCCGCAGTACCTGGGCTCCTAGCAGATACTAAGTCGACCACAGACTCCTTTGTGGAACAAAGTATTCTAGTCAAATGTGAAGCYATCTGTCTGACAGGTCAAAAAGTTGTCTGAACAAATTATCAAGATGTTTCAAGGGCCAAGTCAAAACCTAGGTTAAAATGTTGAGATAGAACATTAAGAGAGCTGCTCTTCAATGATTGYCTGTAAACTAGTGGTTATTTCAGCCACTGGTTTACAGTTAGTTAAACTAGTAGCTAAACCAAAGCTAGTTAGCCTACATTATGCCCACTTTTGCTTATATTAGCTATGTTTCTTTGCCTGTAAATAGAAAGGTGATTTGTACTGCAACTATGATAGACCCACCTCATGAATAGTGAATTGAAACAGTGGAACAGCGAAACCCTTTATTCACTCAAAAAACAGATGTGTTAGATTTACTTAAACAAATTATGTCAACAGGTTCCATTCAACCGAGTTTAGTAAATGTAAAGCAATTTTACTTTCTAAGAGAATGTGAAGTAAATGTTACATTTACTCAATTCTCATTTACTCAATTACTCAGTGTCTGCTTTTTTGAGTGCATTTACTTTTCTTCAGCTGGACATTTCTCCTTTTTTTTAAAAAAAAAGAACAGTTTATAGCCACGTTCAGATAAAAAAAAAGTAATGCAAATTTTAAGTATGACTTTCAAATTAAGTTCAGGTTAAAGACTAGTTTTCAGTGTTCTACCTTCATAATACACCAGTTTTAGGTTGTTTTATTAATTCTATGAATGTAGTAAAACACTCTTTAAATGACTGGAAAATGCACAGTTTTGAGTTGATTTTAAGAAGATGCTCCCCCGAAACCACCTAGAACAGCTTCACTCTCATTTAGAATAGCAGATGTTGGCAGGTGTGAGATGGACGTCTGAGATTCTGTCTCAAATTCAGTAGCCTACATAGTTTTTGACCTTTTCAAACGGACAAAACCATTTGATTTTATATGTGAATGTATGTAAGTGAGTTTTGAAAAACTGCACCAATGAAAATCTCTGAACTGTCATTAATGTCTCAGTAAATCAAAACAAGCATGTCAAACTCAAGGCCTGCAGACCAATTGTGGCCTGACAATGCATTTTATGAGGCCTGCAAAAGCTACAAAGATCTGTTAATGTCTTAAAATAAGTTATTTTAAAAGTAGCATTGACCATAAACTACATCTCCCATAATGTATGTTGAATATTTTACCCACAAATGAYAGCATTCCAACACTTGGTGGAGCTGCACAGGGTTAAAAAGTGCAAGGCCAGCTACTTTTGCTGCAGCCCAGCTTTACGGGGAAGTGGGAATTTCCCAYTTACAGATGATTAATTTAAACTGGAACAGTGGGAGAGTTCAGAATTCAAGATGGAAGATACTCACCACAATGCAACCGTGAGTAAAACACTCTTTACTTTTACTTTCAATAGTATTTTTGTACTATTTGTTTCACATTAATCTGTGGTACATGTAGTATTTTTCAGAGTTTCAAAGAGGATGTGGTAAAACATTGTTTCTATGCAGGAAATACCACGTAGAGCTCAGTTATTGTTCGTTAGGGGTGCTCAGCTGCAGCAATGGGATGAGGAATGGGACGTTTCCTGTTCGTCAATGTTAAACACAAATTGGTTAGATTAATCACAACTACGACGCTCATGTGTCCCTCAGTGAAAATGCGTTTGACACCTCTGCATTAAACCCTAGAGCTGAAAGTGGGTGGACATGCCTGTAGTTGTGTAAGAGTACCTTAACACTGGTCTCCTTTGGCAGGCCTGTGTGATACTGTGGATACACTCGGAGTGCAGCGTGGCAACTTTTCCTGAACACAGCAGGTGATGGCGTGTTGAGTCTCTGCGTGCCGCTGTCCTCCGATAACGTCCGAGCTGGTGGACGCTGTGGTAAGCAGCGCTCGGCGGGACAACATYGGTCCACTGACGACGGCCTGTGCCATCTTTTCTGTGGTGAGGTGGAGGGAGAGAAGTACGTGGTGTGGTAGGAGTAGGGCTGATGGTGGGGGGATGTGGAGGAGGGGAACTCCAGGCTGCTGGTTCGAACACAGAAGGCCTGTCTCTTCTCTGTGATGTGCAGCAGCTCGATTTGCCTGCTGGGCAGGATGAAGTCACTGTCGAACAGCTCCGGAGGGCCCAAGCGCCTTCCCCCTCCGCACCRAACTCCCCCGCTTCGCTCACTCTCTCTGCCCGGCGGTGGCTCGGAGGCCTGAAGGACGTCCGGCGTGGAGTCTCTTAGAGATCCTCCTCCACGCCCACCGCCGCTCGGGCACGCGCCTCCTCCTGAGCCGCTCCCATCACTACGCAGGAAGTCACGAGGCTCGAGGGGGGCAGAGGAGGACAGAGGAGACGGGGGTAACAGGTCTAACTCGCGGGGGCTTTGAGCACGACTCGAGTCATAGTCGCTGTCTGTGGTGAGGAAGACTTCAGAGGAGCCCTCTTCATCTGATAGGCCAGGAAAGTCTAATGGAAGTGATGAAAGAGGTAGTTACGGCAAAATACTACATTTCAGCACAGACAACTSTAACTTTATGTGTTTCTGACCTGAATGCTTGCGGCAGGGTTCAGGTGAAGGCAGCGGAGAGGGCATGAAGTCTAACTGAGAGGAGGTGGATGGGGGCTTTTCCGGGATCACCTCCTTAGAGAAATCAATTATCCAGCTAACAGAGATGCCTCCTGATGGCTGCTTGTAGCGAGCATACTGCAGGGCATCCATAATCCACCTTGTATCCCGCCACACCTCCTCCATTTGCTGTTGCAAAGTCATAAAAAATTAATCTCACTTGTGATTAAAAGGTAAAACTGACATCCCAGCATTGTTACTCCATACATATTGACAGACCCACTTGGTACTCGTACCTGCATGTGCTCCTGGACCTGCTGGTGCTTCTTCTTAGCAGCTAGGAGCTCAGCTTCAGAGAAGGCCTCTCGTAGCGCCTGCTGCGACATGAGGGACTCCAGCTCTAGCAAAGCAGAAACTCTACAGTACTGGCCGATGAAACTGGGGCAGTATGCATTGAAGTGGACTGGAAAAGAAAAAGGAATCCAGTAAGGTAAAAGAACCCCAGAGTGCTCTGCCAGTAAATACAGAAACTTATACAGTAACAGCCACCAGTCTTGAGGTCATAAAGAGCGTGTGGCATGAAAGTGTGTAAAATCTGATACACTGACCCAGTTCAAAGATCTGCAGGGGCAGGGTGAGGAAGCCGGAGCGAGGTGAGTACGGATTATTCTGACCAGGAGCTGTGCACACTTCATCTGAAGGTGGCAGGAGCAGCAGGAAGGACACTTTATCCCCAAACTCCAACACTTCCTGGCTGTAGATTCGGAAATCCTGCGCCTAGATGCATAGATAAATAACTCTAAGATTTAGTCTTTAGAGAAAAGAGCTTAGTGAATGTGCAGGTGACAGCATTTTCTGCAGTTTTATGTTTGAATTTCTGACTCAGTCTTTATAAAGTGCAAATATTTTACTGAGTTGTTGTCAGGTTAATCAGTTTTCAAATACTTTGGTGAAATCGAATTTTAAACGAGCTACAGGATTTTTCAACATAAAATCGAAGGTTTAAGTTTTAGCAACTAATACGTTTGAACTGTTTTCAATTCCATATGCTGATAGACATAAGAATGTTTCTTTGTTAAAAAGAAGGAACCATGATGAGTACTGGGCTATTTTAAGGGGACACATTATAAAAGGTTCCTTTGCTGGTGGCATGGTTTTAGTTTGACGCTCTCACCTGATTGGCCGGAACGTTGATGTGGGCCATCAGGTCCTTGATGGCGCTGCGAAGGTCTTGTAAGAAGCGATGGGAAGCGCTCTGCACATCATGATCCATTTCCATCGACTCCTCCAGGGAGGTGAGAGCCTGCAGCCACTGCCACTCCTCTCTGACACAAAAATCATAGGTGTTGTTGATTTTCAGCTGATTAATTATTTACACAGGCAAAAAGCCATTTTGAGTAATGGGTGAGTCCCACCTGGACACGTTGCTATTGTCCCGGATTTTGGTGTGACAAAGAACGTTGGGGAGTTTCTGGGGTACCAGCACCCTTATCTGCTCCACTGATGTGCATAACTTGAGGTAGCCCAGGTATAGGCCTGGAGGCAAAAGCTTCCTGCTCCGCCTGTGATAGGCCAGCTTCTCCTGGAAACAAATAAGACAAGGTGTGTTGACTAAAGATGGATGTCTAATAATTCTAGTTTTAACTAAAACAAAAAAGCATCTTTGCTCTCCTTTAAATTGTATCTTTATATTTTACTGGTAGGTTTGTCCATAAAGCCCTTCAGTTTAAAGTTGCTCCTATATACTAAAAGTGAAATTCAGCAGTGAAATTTTCAAAAAAATTTGAGAACTTGTTTAACAAGCAGCTGGAATCATTGCTGGGAAGGTATAAATTGATTAGTGAACGCCAATACAGATTCAGGTACCACTGATCAACAGCATTAGCCATAATGGAATCTATAGAAGAAATTACATTTGCAATTGATAATAATCTGCTTGTTGCAGGAGTGTTTCTATATATAAAAATGCATTTGATATAATAAATCATGATTTATTAATAAATAAACTGGAAAGATGTGGGATTAGAGGGACTGTAATAAAGTGGGTAAAAAATAACTTGGAAAAATAGAAAACGACATGTACAGATGGAAAATGTTATCTCTGAATGTTTGCACATTGCTTGTGGGGTTCCTCAGGGTTCAATATTAGGGCCTAAATTATTCATAATTTACTTAAATTATCTATGTTACATAACAAAACATATTAAATTTGTTTTATTTGCAGATGACAAAAACGTCTTTTTTATTGAAGATGATATGGAGCAGTTGCTTGATGATGTAGCTAAAACTATGAACAAACTGAAATTATGGTTTAATGAGAATAAGTTGTCCTAATCTGACCAAAACAAAATTAATGCTATTTGGGAATAGTGGGTCAAATAAAGACAGCAAAATAAAGATATATGGTAGAAACATTGAAAGAGTGCATGATTCTAAATTTCTTGGGATCATTATTGATGATAAAATAACATGKAAACCTCAAATTAGATTTATACAAAGTAAACTGTCAAAAATTTATTCAAAATAAAGTCAAACATGTTCTGGAGGAAACTGCTCTCCACATTCTTTWCTGTTCCCTRGTCTTATCTCATTTGAGTYATTGTGCAGAGTTTTGGGGCAACAACTGCARAACTTCACTACAGTCATTAATAACATTGCAAAAATGAGCAATAAGAGTAATMAATACGGTCAGTTATTTYGATCATACAAACGCACTATTCWTAAAATCTAAACTTTTTAAATTTGTTGACATAGTGGAATTACAAACAGCTAATACCTTGTTTAAAGTCAAAAATAAATTCTTACATGCAAAAGCTTTTCTTAAACAAAGGAAGGACATTATAATTTAAGGGCAAATGTGAATTAAAAAATTAAAATACAGAAACACAAGAAAAAGCTTTTGTATACCAATATGTGTGGTGAAGCTGTGGAATGTTTTAAGTCTGGAAATCAAGCAATGTCCAAACATAAAACAATTTAAAATGCCTTTTAAGAAGATGGTCATCACTGCATGTCAATATGAGAAATGTGATAATAAATATATTGCTTGTTTGTTATTGACCAAATACTTATTTTCCACCATWATTTGCAAACAAATTCTTTAAAAATCAGACAATGTGATTTTCTAGATTTGTTTTCTCATTTTGTCTCACATAATTGAGGTCAATTGATGTCAATTACAGGCCTCTCTCATCTTTATTAGTGGGAGAACTTGAACAATTGGTGGCTGACTAAATACATTTTCCCCCCACTGTGTAATCATAATATTCACAATACGCAAATTCAGTTATTTAAACCTCTACTGAATAAACAGTTTTACAAGTAAAGTGCCCTTTAGATGGTTAAAATTCATGTGCTCATGGGGATTCAGTGTCTGACCAGAATATTTGCATTTCTATAGACGTTTTATTAAAAATCTGTTCAGTAGCTGTCCTCACAAAGAAGGTAAAGATTGGAGAAGGAAAGTCATGATTCGTGYCTGTCTGAATAAAGAACGCTGGTACAAGACACATTTGTAATTGAAAGCACATTTGAAGTCATGTTCGATTTTCTGTGAATGAATGTTTTCAAAGCATGGCAGCAATTTCAGTGAATACATGTTGAGGCACTTTTTGTTTTGTATCAATGCAACCTCTCGTGMAAAATTTTAGTGTATCAAGAAAAAAAATAGTAAAGAATGAGTGTATCTGAAGCAAAAACACAGTGACAACCCTCGAAATATTCCTTGCTGCTGAGGAGGCACTCTCAGCTACAGAAGCAAAAAAACTGTGACACTGTGATCAGTGTCTAAGATTTTCTGTAGGACTCACGTGCAGTGTGATAAGGAGCATGTCCAAGGCCGTAGGCTCCTCGGGGGATGAAATAGACTTGCGTTGAAGTTGGAGTTTACAAAGCTGCATCCAGCGTACCCCATCCAGGTTAGGACAGGAGCTCATGTCCTTCAGGAGAACCAGCAGGRCGTTGCCATGCTTGTCTTTGATAGGTTCAAAATACACCTGGCCAAGATCATGGGTTCCCAGCATTCCCTGATTTAAAACGCCATCAGAAAACAAGCACAAAAGGAAAGACTTCCTTTTAGCCTAAGTTCATGAGGTGATAGCCATGATCCTTTCATGCTAAAGCCATTATACAACCTGTAGCTGGGAGACAGCCTGCAGCATCTTGATGCGAGTCTGCAGAGTACAGGAGCAAGATGACTGGGACGGACTGAGACACTGCTGAAGCCAGGAAATCTCATCCCATAGGTAGGAAACCTGTTACAAAAACAGTTATTCATCAAAACACAACCAGAATAAAATAAATGACGATGCTTTCTCTCAAGCTCTCTAGAGGCGTGAGCTCTAAATGTAAATCGAAAACTTTGTAGGACTAAAAAGGGGTAACTTCACATGTTTCTCTGACACATAAGCTTGTCTGCCTACTTTAGTGAACCAGAGGAAGTCCTGCATCAGTGTGCTGGAGTATGAATCTTCAACCTCGACGATAGGAATCTGATCTTCTGGAGTCACCAACACGCTGTCGTCTCTGTAGAATATGGATGTCAGATAGAGACCTCTGGAGGACAAAAAAACAGAAAAAAATGTTACGACAGACAAGTTGCTAATCTGGCTAATTAGCAAAGTGAATACACACGATTAGAAACTTGATAACTGGAAAAAAATGACCAACTCACAACATTAATTTGATGTAAATATTTACTCTAAACACAAACCCCACATTTTGCGTGTTCACGCTGAGGGGTAGGGTGTTCCAATTCATTTCATGACGTAATGCTAGGGCTATGTGGCCCGTCAAACAGAGATTTTTTTCATGGTTGCAGTTGAAATGTAGTATTATGAACTGCACTAACAAAGAAACTCCCAAATGTATTATCTTCATCAAAACTGTTCATCAAAACCTCCATTGTATTTGGATAAACTTTGACAGTTTGGGTATTACTGCCAGTCTTCTTTAAGCTCAAAAATAGTGTTGTGTGCCATCGTCTATTGTAGGCGTGTTGAATAGTTACAATGCAAATTCAGAACAACAGGGAATGAATGATTGTGCTTCAGATTCTTGATCAGTTGTCTCATTTGTTTCAAAGTTGAACATTTTTACCATAAACCTTTATGACTTCAGAGTAAAGGCAAAGGGGACACTTTAAATCTACAAGCAGGGTGACAGACTTGAGAAGACTTTAAATCTCAAAGTGTCTAATGCACCTTACCCGTAAATATTTACCTACCTTTTCAAGCTTTTGACAGATTTGCTGGTAGGTTGGAAGAGATGGCGAAGGCTTTTGGACACTGAATGCTTCCTGCCTTGTGTGGGCGCTTTGCACTGTTCTGTGCGACAAGAATAAAAACAGTTTTGTTCCAACGCACAAATTTCCGGCTCTTCATTAACGCTCTTAATGCTAACATTTCGAGTTCTTAGGACCCTCATGCAATTACTCTGATTGTCCAAATTTGTTGCTAAGCCTTTTTTTTCAGAACAGAACTGCCTATAGAAACAGCTCCAGTGACAGCTTGTTACTGAACTGACAACAAACCTGACAGGTCCAACAACACGACTGAAAATTTCTGACATTTCATGCTTTCCAGTGGGGCCGCTTAATTTGACAGTCGTGCTGGCTGCCAACAGCAGACTATTGGCCCAGAGGGAACCACTAGCTCACGAGTCCTGGGGGATCGTGAACTCTGTGTACATGTATGTGAGTGTGTGTTTACCRGCACACACTATAGCTGCTGGGGCATGGTAGTCCTTGAACTGCAGCCTTATGTGCGGAGCCAAGAAACTTCAGTAATTCATGTGTGCTTGTCTGTATGTGTCTTAACCCTTTGCCACTCACTGACAGGTAGGTCAGTTAGGTCTGTGGGGACATGTTTATTTTTAGAGGGCCATGTGTGTGTGTCTGTGAGTGTGAGTGTGTGGGGTTCTTTCTGGTGAGATAACGCACCTCCCAAGTCATTAGTAACACTGAGTCCCAAATCCCTTCAGACTCCMTCTCGTCCCAGGTGATCTCTCACCAGCCCCAGGCCACTTAAAGTAAATACAACCCTTCATTCAGTTCCAGAAAAACCTCCCCAAATGTCCACTCAGTCCTCCTGTCCTCATTCCCCTGTATGACACTGAGTAAGACAGACAAGTAGGGCCGGCTGCTGGGGAGCCTGTGTTAGTCAAGGCCTCTTTCACAGTTTAATTAATAGTGTTTGGACAAGAGGGAGAAGGTGGTGTGGGCCATAAGCTGGGCTGTGATTTGGGGGGGCTGCATACATGAACACAGAGTAGAGTTAGAGTTGTAAAAGAAAGCATGTGATTGAACATTTCTGTCTGTTCGTGTACATCTGTACATTTGTAGGTGTATATGCGGGGACAGTAGACAGGACGACTGGCTYGCTGCGGGGGGTGGGTGGGTGGTGTTGAAGAGGGAGGCAGCAGTAGTCAGTGTTAATTTATGCTCCTCTCAGACTCCAGCCCAGGACCTGTCTGCTACAGGAATAACAAACATGACCCCGGGACACGCCACCTTGGCTACCGTGCCTGAACCCTCAAGCTCAATCAGTCGCCGTCTGACAAACCAAGAGCCACTCAATACTGACTATTATATTGCATCTCGCCCTGTCGCAAACATGGTCTGGTCACAGTGGACAATAGTAAAGTGGGCGAGTGTGTTTGGGCATGTGGGTGTGAGAGAAAAACGAGAGGCTCAATGCTAAATGCAGTTCGCCAGCCTATGAAGGAGTCAGTGTGGACAGGTTTTGACACTTATGGGACCAGCTTACAGCCGGCAGTGTTCGAGGGGTATAAACAGCCCGAGTGTGAGGGATGTTGACCTGCATTTTCTCACAGAGAAAGAGGTGTTCAGCAAGAAGGCCTGAGTCATGGAAAGACTCAYAAGGGAGTGAGGGGTTGCTGAGACAACAGGGGGTGGTGGGGGTGGGGGGGCTGGCATGTCATAGTATGTATGGCCACTGAAGTACTTGTCATGCCTCAGATTGCAAAGTGTCTGTCAAGGTGCAATTAGTGAAACTCGTTGCACCTGTGAATTGCAGCATTTAGATACTCCATGATCTTTTTTTCTTCTTCACCAATCTACTCTAAAGCACAACTAAGACGTGGGGGGGGGGGGAATGCAGTTTTGTTTGACAGGTGCATTTCAGCTGAATGTACGGTCAACAGAACAGCACAATCACCACCAGGTTTAAAATTTGCTGGGGATCAGTTTGGTTTATAATTAAAGTTCTTCTTCATTTCCTGGTCTTTTACACCAAAACTGCCATCAAATCGCCAGAAATGTTTTTATACCATGGCAGACACAGTGGCGGTGAGCTTCTTTCATCTGTCCGAGGAGCTGGTCGAGTGTCTCTTTCTGGCCTTTCTGACGCGGAACGTGGCCATCAACGTCTCTCCAGCCTGCAGAAACAAAGAATTTAAAAGTAATGATGGCAAAACAAAAATAGAAGAAAACAAAATCCCCACCCCCACAATAGAAGTTGGGAAATGAAAAACAGCCCTAAAAACGTAAGAACAAATAGAGTTTTCCACTACATATACTTACTACCTTTTATTTGCCATGTCGCTTTATTTTTTATGTAATGACTTCAGATWTATATATGTATATATATGACAGCAAAACTGTGGCAAAACTCGAAATTGTGAAATCGGACTGACGTTAGGTCCGAGTTGAAAATGTTCCAGTTTTCAGGTCAGAACATTGGGGAAAAAAAGATTTTCTATTTTTTGCTTTRACAAAACAAGGTAATAATAACACAACAAGCGTGCTTTTGTGTGTACAAACAGTAAAACATATCGCCTAATAATTGCTTTTACTAGAAGTACAACTGACTTAATGTAAAGTAAACAACACAGAACTGCTAGAAACTGTAAACGTAAGTGGTTCACTCTGTATCGATGCGACGAACAGCCATGTTGAAATGATGATGTCATGTGTGGTCAAGTGTAGTCATGTTGAACCAATCTACCGACTCAACATTAGGTGGCACTCTGGCGGGTATTTCTGACTTGGAAGTCTAAAATTCCGACCTCAGAGTACAGTAATGCTGCATTAGCACTGCACTGTCAGGCTCTTATAGATTGGTTGAAGTATTGCTGACTCGTCATTGATTAAATTCATCCATACTTCAAATTTAACTATGAAACTGAAGCTCCATTCTTTACTCTTTAAGATAAAAAGTTAAGCCTCTATAAAAACTTTCAAAGTAATCACATGATTGCTGTCACATGTGGTGTCACCTACAATTATTTAACGATTGACAAATGAATAAAGTAGCACGTGCCTAACTTTTCCAATTATATTCATGTGTCTTTGTCACTATGTGACTATACTCCTTAAATAAAATGTACAAGCATACTAAAACAATTGTAAAACCATACATACAAGCATAAACAACTTTAAAACTATCTCTATTTTACAAAGACACAAACTATTCCTTCTTTTAAATAACTGGCTCCTCAGAGAAAGAAAGAAAAAAAAAGTCACTCTTCAGCACTTTTTGCCTTGTGTGTAAGTACAGGAGGATGAGTCAGCGAAGACCCAACCCCCACCCAATCATCACACCCCCACCCTTCTTACTGGAGCCCCCCGGAGGGTGCATGGGGCTGAAACACGGTGAGCTCTATTCCCGGAAAGGTGCCTGTCCCGACAAGACAAGCGGGCCCTTTAATGGGCGTCCACAGCTCGGTATAAGGCCCCCACTGTTGGGGCCACGTCGCGCACTACAGCACACACATGCAAATATTTCCAGTGGTAGGCCCAAATGGAAAACACAAACACGCAACATCTAAATTAGCTCTGAGAGGGGGAGGAGGGGAGGGAGGTAGTACAGCAAAAAAAAAAAAAAAAAAA